ACTTTCAAACCTGGCTATCACATCTCTATTACTCATAACTTTTATAATGAAATTTTTTATTATAATCTTATTTGCAAATAAAAGTAAATTTAAAAAAAATCTTTTAAAGGGTCAAGTATGTTTCCAGGTTGCCTTTTCTGACCACAGTATGCACACATGGTGAGGGGGAGCAAGGGTGGGGAGACCCAGGGAAATCACAGGCCTGGCACACAAATCAATAATGTGGGCACATCCTGAAAACGAAAGGGACAGATGGAATCCAACCAAGTCCACCAATTGCCAAAAAGATTTTTGGCCAAGTAAGATTGAAAGGCCTCCTAAGGTAAGCCTCAGGTGAAATATCCTGCAGGTAATGGGGGAAAGCACAGGATGTACTTCCAGGCTGGTGAACCTCACTCAGAAAAATGCCCAGGAAGCATGAAAATAGGGAGTAAAGGTAGCAAGACACCATCTCCAGCTCCAACATCAAGGGATCCCCCATTAAGGTGTCCGAATTAAGGGGACCCCAGAGATAGTAACAAAGAAGCATAATATTGAGCCACTAGGCATGGGGTTGTACCAGAAAATATAGAACCTACTCAAGCCTCCCAATCCCAATGTCCTATGAGAGAGGGCTGCCAATAGTAACCTGGTGGTTAAGGAAGACCTCAGGGGACAGCAGAGATAATCTAATGGGGTCTTCATGATCACATTCCCTCAGGTGGTCACAAAGATTACAGTGACAGCGACAGACTGAAAAGTCAATCATTGTGTGATTCTTCTGCCTTGTCTTACACAAAATAACTGCCGAATCCATTTAGGATTCATTTTTTTAAGACCATGTCAAGTCACTAGGCTTTTAGTACATCCTGTGTAGTCAAGGGGTGGGTGGGTATTTTGGAAGAGATAAGGAGGATAGATCCCTGTTCCAAAGATGCCATAACCTACATGGAAAATGAGTTGCACATCGTTCAAAACATATAAAGAACCTCCATCTATGTCCATATGCACATTCAACCTTGATGGTTATGACTTCAGAGAAAAGGCAAAGTAGAGAGGAAAACCTGCACAGAGTTCAGGGGCAGGAAGATATGGGTCCCCTGCTGAGTTTTGACAGACAGATAACATTTGAGCCAGAAAAAAAAATTAGGAAGAATGTATTTCAGCAAATAATTAGTGATAAATGAACATATTCTCAATGAACAGTAAAAGTAAAAAAAGAGAAGTAAACTGGGAGAAGGAAAGGATAATCCTTAGCAATCATGGATTATCATGTTGGGAAGGAAAGTAGACATTGCTCATCTGTTCATTCATAAATTCATCAATAAATAGTAGATGGATACTGATCAGGTTCTAGGACCTCAACTAACAAACTATTGACTCCTGAACAATAGGGGAGCACCTGGAAGAAACTATTAGACAACCCCTGCTCATTGGAACTGAATGAAAATCCATGTTTCTCAAACTGCCTGATATGGGGAAATGCTTAGATTTTTCTAGGCTTTATCTCTGTATATAACTGGGGTGGGGGGAGTAATAACTAACTTAGAAGTAATGAGACCATCCTTTGGGATAAGACATTTTTCCTGTAGCATTTCCCACACAGTGAAGTTGAGCTCACTTTGGCCTCCTGAGTATTCCAACTCTCACCACATCAATGGTGCCTTGAAAACAGTGTATGACCAATAAATATTTGTTTGTGGATCTTGCTTACTGTGTGCAAAGACCCATGCAATGGTAGGCTAGGATTGTTCAGTTGTCCAAGGTGCCAGGCAATAACTTAAGCCTAAACCCATGGCATGAGTCCTCTTAGAGGCAGTGGCATATTTTTTACAATGCTTGATGAAATTGAGGGCAGGGGTCAGAGATGCTTACAGAAAGAACCATGTAATAGGCATTGCTATTTAAAACATAAGTGACTCTGGCTTTAAGTAAATGTTTCATATCCAATAAAGAAGGCTAAGTATCTATCATTCTGATAGATTGCTATAAATGAAACATTAGAGAGGCTCTTAAACACCTTGTTTTAGATCTTCATTACCTGAAATTAATCTTGAGCAGAATATCCCACCCAAAATGGCTGAACTCCATTAAGTAGAGCCAGTGAGATAACATAGGCTAAGCTTGTCTAATAACAGCAGAATCAGGAAGAAATCCAATGGGACAATATCACTTCTGCAGCCCAAAAGCCCTGCAAGCCAGAGCAGTAGAGAATGCTTTCTAGAAATTTCTAAATGTAACTATCAAGCCCCTGGAGATGACACAGGATAGTCTCACAGTCTCTTCCAAAAAGCAACACAGGGGCTATGATTATTGTTTAACTAGCATTACTAATAAGGGGAGACTAGTGAGATCATGACTCACCTGTGCTGCCTCACCTGAGAGCAGCGAGAACTTTGCTGACTCCAGATCCCTTTCAGGACTTCTACAAAATCATCAGTGTTGGTGAAATGTCCTAGGGCAATTTCTATCAATATGCAGAAAGAAACCAAAAGCTCAGGATGACATAAATTCAGAGCATAAAGAAGGAGGAGGCACAAATACAACTAATACACTCAGCTAAAAACACTCAGTGCAAAACAAAACAAAACAAAAAGTTCAGTGCAAATTTTCATGTTGAGGTTCGGATATGAGGTGTCCCCCAAAATCTCATGTGTGAGACAATGCAAGAGTGTTCAGAGGTGAAGTGGTTAGATTACGGAATTGTAACCAAATCCGTGAATCAATCTACTGATATGGATTGTAAACTGTAGGCAGTTAGGGCATGGCTAGAGAAGATAGGTCACTGGACTTGCCTTTGGGGTATATATTTTGTCCCTGGTGAGCAGAGGTCCCTCTCTGCTTCCTATTACAATGTCCTGAGCTACTTTCCTTCTCCATGCCCTTCTACCATCATCTTCTTCTGCCTCACCTTTGACCCAGAGCTATGGAGTTGGCTGTCCCTGTACTGAACCTCTGAAACCATGAGCCATGAGCCAAATAAACTTTTCCTCCTCAAAATTGTTCTTATCAGGTATTTTGGTCACAGCAATGAAAAAGCTGACTAAAACATTTCAAGAATGATGATAACTCAAACACCCAAGAAACAGAGGTACTCGCCCCACAATATTGATTTACACAAGTGCATGTCACATGTGTGTCCAGAGACTTCTGCACAACAGCGCCATGTGCCCATAAACAGAGATCCATGTGGACTTTATCATTCAGGAGGCACTTGGAGAACGTAGCTAAGCAGTATTCCTTCAACATTTGCCTTTAAGCCCAGCAAGAAAAAACTATTTGCCAGACAATACCATGAAACCTACTTTTCAATGGGTTATTTAATAAAGAAAAAAAATTAATAAAGTAATAAAAATATAAGGCTCTTCTGTATCAGCTTTGTCTCCAAGACCATCTCACTCCTCTAGCAATCAGAGGGTGGAGCTGGGAAGCAACAACAGTAACTGTCTAGCTACAGTATGGAAGTCTTAGAAACCCTGGCTCAGAATTCCTTCAGCAGGAAAGTTTCTCCAAAAATGAAAACAACATTTCACTCTAGTATACCATCATCATGCACTACTGTATCTAAACATGCTTCTTCCTTTGACACATCTGGCCCACTTGAATTTCAGCATTATTTACCTTTCCTAATCCACCAATCAATTATTCCTAGTAATCATAGTTAACATGTATACACAAGGTACTCTTTTTACTTGCTTTGGTTTTTCTATATCAACTCCATCATCCTCACTACACTTTAAGAAAAGTACTAACGCTACCCCCTCTAAAGAAGTGAGGAAAAGGAGGCTCAGGAAGGCAATTAACTATGCTGCCTGCAGTCACACAGCAATTAAGTGGAAGTCTTGTGATCTGTACTTAGCAATTTGGCTCCATCAATCCTGCTTTTCATCCCAACACTGTCCTGTACAGGCTTTGTGTGTTTATTCCCCAGGTGAATAAGATGAACCCGCTCGTACAATCGAGAGAGTAACATTAAGGAAAACTGAGTGTTCTTGGACACATTTGTCCCCAGTTCCTTCCATCTCATTCCTTATTCCTAGTATTTAGCAATTAGATATTTCTTCTGCCCTCTCAAAATATGCTTTTGATATAAAAATGGCCACAAGATATCCCAGCATGCACTGGCATGACATGAAATGGGCAATTTGTTTACTTTGACCACGTGGCATGTTCTTGATATTAACATCTTAGCTGGTGTTCTGGGTATTAGGCATTTTGCTTGACTAAAAGAAAGCGAAGAAATTAACACTTGCTGGCCACATGTCGGGTGATGTGCTCCAAGCTTTCGACTTCATCCTTCTCTTTAATTATAGAAACAGATCCACCAAAGGTAATTTGTGGGATCTAATTTTTAGAGAAAAGAAACAAACTCAAAAAGGTCCATATTTATATCCTGGTCAGGGAGGATCACTTACAAGTGATGGCATGTAGATTTACACCAAAACCTGACCTGAAGCTGAGGCTGTTGCTACAGCAGCTCAGCGTGCTGGGTAGCAGATACCATACCCTTTAAAACCAGAAACTATTTTTACGTTTGTTTTGTTGTTGTTTTTTTCCTCCCTCTGAGCAATGAGTCTTTACAGATTTACTGGTTGTTAAATGCTACTGACTCTAGCTAATTCCCAAATTAACTAAATTCCTTTCGGAGCTTGTAAAATGTGCTACACACTCAACCTCTGAATTTAGCGTGCAAGATGATGACCACAGCAGCAAGAATGGAGCAACTTTCTTGTTAGAACAATGCACGCCCAAAAGCCTCCCTTTAATTTCTACCTTCTTTTACGAGGACTGTGTGAGCGAGGACACACCTAGGATACCGCATATTAATTTCAACACAGCTAATACCCAAAATGTCCCACCAATTTACTCTTCACTGACAATGTTAAAAGAAAATGATTTATGCAGATCAATCATCTCGCTCATCAAGTCCTACCCTGACAGCCAGCCTTCATCATTGCTATTTAAAAGGCACTGCTGACAGAAAAGACCGACTCTTTGATTAAGGGCCCTGTCTGGCTAACCTTTTATTTGAAGAATGATTGCCGCTGAGTGACAAATACTTTTCCATTCATTTCAAGGCAAAGATATTGACATTCAAATTCTTGATGGCTACACTGAGCAGATGCCACTGTTGGCAAGAGGCATGAGAGCAACAGCAGGTACGCCATGGCTCTGGGGCAAGGGGAGAAAGAATAAAATGAAAAGCACGCACGCAGCACTGGCTAAAGATCCTCAACAAGTGAGCACCGTGGTCTCAGCCAGATCCTCCTTCCTCGCAGTTATTAAAGGAGAGCTGTTTGTAGTTTCGCCCCAGCCCTCTTCTTAAAAGTGCCCTTGCCTTACCTTGACCCTACTGGGAACTGTAAAGGCCCTGTGGACTACAAGAAAAAGAGCCCAAGAGCATGAGTTCTCAACCCTAGGGACTCTTCTCCATCCTGAACTGTACATCCCAGCAGACCTCAGGCAGAAAGGAATGGCCAGGACCTTGGGTGACTAAATACAAATAGAAGGAGCTCCTGAAGACTCATCCTTTAAAAAAAAAAAAAAAAAAAACCCCAAGAAGACTTTATCCCCATCTTCTAAATAGAAAAAAAAAGAAACAAAAAACAATGAGGCAGAGATTGATAGAAACAGAGCGAAAAGAAAAACTGAGCTTTTTTTTTTTTTAAAGGCAATTTTTCTAATCCATTTCAGGTTCATTTAGATCTTGATCAGCATCATATATATAATGTACACATACCTTCACAATGTAATTATGTTGCTTGTTTAAATGCAAAATATTACCTTAAAGGGAAGTAGGGAAATTATGGATTAAGGAAGGCTATTTGTGACAAGAGCCATCACAAAGCCTCAAGATTAATCATTTCCAGGAACAAAGTGAAAATGCCCCAGCGGGTCATCAACCATTCCTTTCAAATCCTGCAGAGGTGCAATGTGCTAGTCTTACAAGCATGCTTCACAAGAGAGAGGATATCCAAGAAAAACAGCAGTTCCAAGCCTCCAACAAAGTCCCCACAGTGAAATAGGCAGGGACAGTGGAGGTTCCACCAGAACCTTCTCTCCTGTCATTCCAGGGCCCCACAGGAGTGACCTAGGCAGCAGAGTAGAGGAAACCTATAGGACTTCAGAAGGACAGAAAACCCACATTTGGCCAGGTGTGGTGGCACACACCTATAATCCCAGAGGCTTGGGAGGCTGAGGCAGGAGGACTGTGAGTTCAAAGCCAGTTTCAGCAACTTATGGAGGCCCTAAGCAACTCAATGAGACCCTGTCTCTAAATAAAATACCAAAAAGGGCTGGGGATGTGGCTCAGTGTTTAGATGTCACTGAGTTCAATCCCCAGTTCCGAAAAAAAAAAGAAAGAAAGAAAACAAAACCTGTATTTGAATACAATCTCTGCTACATATTAACTAAGATCTGTAGACATTACCTCCCAATTCCCTATTATCCCACCTGCAAAATGGGATGAGTCTGTCTACTTTGTAGGGTTGTCTGTAGATATTAAAAAATACAAAGCAACTTTCCCTTATCTAAATCCTCCTCCCCTACTTTTCTTAGCTCATCTCTGCTCACTGGTTTATATAAAAATAATCCATGAGGGGTATGAGAAAAATGATGTACAATTACTGTCCTACTTCCTCACTGTGCTACAATGGGAACAAATGAGATAATGTTGACATTAAAGCACTTTATACATTTTAAATCGATATAAAAAGGTTCACTGTGGTTACTATTGTGCTCCACAAACAGGATACTCCAATCCATTTTGATCTTTTCCCTTATTTGTTTCTCCCATCTATATTTCACATGGTGAACACTAAATCAATAACCAATTAATCAATAATCATAAAATCATCTACATTTCTTAGAACTCTTAGTTGCTTCTGCAACTGACATTTTTCCCATAAGAAAAATTTATCAGAGGTTATTGTGAAGCAGGCATCGGGACAAGGAAGAAAGAGAAACGCAACATCAGTCCAGTTAAGCAAAGAGACAAAGAGGTGGTTTCCATATTGTATTACATAGTACACAGGACAATGACAGGCCAACAAGGAAGGGCATGACCACCTGGGGAGGTCGGGGAAGATTTACTGCAATGGTGTTAGAGCAAGTCCTCGCCCAGAGTCAAAGGAAGAGGTGGCACTGCAGGGAAGGAGAGGAGGCCTGAGAGATCCATGCTCCTGGAGAGACAAGGGAAGTTCAAGTCAGACTATTGATTCAATACACGGTCCTCTAGGCAGTGGGGAGCATGAACTTGAAGCTGCTGTCATACAGCTCCTGGTTCAGAAACGTCACTGTCATGAAAGGTTGGACACATCCAGGGTGTCTACTCTGTGCTAGAAATTGGAGTCACAGAGATGAAAAAGTCTTTCTGTCAAGAGACCTCTGGGCCGTGAGAAAAGATGCTCCCTGGCTCTTGGCAGTACGTGAGCAGTTTCTCCACAGGGATGAGGCTCAACCCACCCGCACTGGTACCTAAGGCATCGTGCCAGGTCTGGGACCTGCACTTCACACTTGATGTGATAGTGAAGGTTCCTGCTCAGCAGCTTAGCCCTACTGTTTGGTTTCTATAGACTCTAGTGCCAGCTACAGATGGCCCACTTGCGCGTTCAGAGCTATGCCCTCCAGCTCTCTGCCTTCCCTTGTGGACACAAGCCTGTTGCTGTCTTTCTTTGACTGTCTGTCTGCCTGGTGGCTCCTGAAAGCATCTCTCAAAGTGAGTGAGCCTCTATTCCAAGCCTCTACCCCTTGCTCCCTGTACTGTAGCTGCAGTACAGGTACAGCCACAACAATGCTATGTGTTCACTAAATCCTATGTCATTGTCATTTAAAACAATGTGGGTTTTTGGTCAATACAGACCAAAAAAAAAAAAAGGATTTAAGATATTCCCAAGCCTGGCCCTTAAATATATCTAAGTGCAAATCTTTAAACCAGGTAGTCTGGAACAAGAAGAATTTATTCTCTCACTTTTATGGATACCAGAAATCCAAAGTCCGATGTGAACAAGGCTCAAGAGGGAGAATCCTTCAGCTCCTGGTGGTTCCTGGCATTCCTTGTCAGGAGTGGCAGTATAACTTCAATCTCTACTCTGTCTTCACCTGCCCTTGCATATCTGTGTCAAATCCTTCCTCCCCTTTCTCCAATAAAGACACCAGCTATTAGATTTAGGGCCTACTCTAAATCCAGAATGATTTCATCTCAGATCCTTATGTAATTCTATGTACAAAGACCCTATTTCCAAATAAGTCCACATTTGAGGTTCCAGACAGACAAGAATTTGTCTGGGAGTCACTATTGAATCCAGGATGCCTCTCTTGCCACCTTGGAGGTCTCATGATCCAGATGGAGCAACAAAACATTAAGTCTTCCGCCAGCCAGATCCCCAGGTAACCAGGTGAAATCCAGTTCCCCAATACTGACCCTCCTGGGTGTGTAAGTTGAGCAGGAAATGAAACCTTGTGGTGGGAAGCCACTGAGATTTCAGGGTTAATTTGTTACAACAGCAGAGCCCAGCTGAGCTTGGCTACCTCTCCAAGCATGGTGCCCTAGATCTGCAACTCAGGTGCTGTTTACAGGCCTAGGGCTAACACCAAGTGTTTTCATTTGGCTTGTTTTTTACTCAAAAGCCCTTTTAGGTTGCTCTTGCTGAATGTCCTAGGAATTTCTCCCAGAGCTTTGCTTGGCTTGGATCTGCCTGTTTGGGAGGGTTCTTGTTTTCCCTGGGTAGTATAATTAGGCTTTTGCTGATAACATCACTGTTTTCGGTACTGGTCCCCGAGGAGAATGTGGTAGCCAATGGTAGTTAGCTTTTGCTTTTATTGGGGTGGGAGAGAGGAGGAAAGAGGTCGAACATGAATGTTTTCCTGCTAAATTCATCCAAAAGTGAACCAAGAAAAACAGTAGCCAGGGTCCCTTTCTTACACAAGTGGAAAGGTTTTTAGTTATGCTGCCTTTGGTTAAAATTTCCAGTTCTGCAAACTTCTTAGCTATGATACTTTGAAATGTTACATATTATCACAGAGCCCTAGTTCTCCCACCTTTAAAAAACAAGTGGGTTAATGCCACCTTTCCTAGGTGGCTATGATGATTAAATAATAAATCCACTTTTAGCTGTGTGCACTGATCACAGTAGTTCTCATGTAAATATGAACTTCTTTTGTTCCTATAAACAAGCCAATATATTCCCTCTTGGATCTTCTTCAAGGTAAGGTAAGAGTTAAGTTGGTGTGAATCCATGATCTTTAGCACTGGTCTTGACTATCCTTGGTGCAGAAGCATTCTCTGGCTTTTCTCTGGTTCATTCTTTCAGATAGTACTAATCTATTCCTTGGAAACAAAAGCAAAACAGTGGATAGACTAACTAATCTCTTTAACCAAGTGAGATTTGCTCTTGAATATTTCATGAAAGTTCATTCTGATCCTAGAGTTTGACTGAAAGCTCTCTGAAAGTCAGGATTGTGTCTTATCCTGCCTCTATAAGTCCCACAGTCAGCATGATGCCAAAGTGACCAGGTGTCCCCTGCCCCATACTCACTGACCAACCACAGAGAAAGAAGGACTGGGTTGTTCCCATAGTTAAGACAGTATTTGGCCTCCAATAATGGATGTGCCAAATGAATGGGCAAGTACCAGTAAGCAGAGCAAAGAGAAGGTAGCAGAAGTCAAAACACTTCGGTAATCGATCACAAAGAGGGAAGATTCAACTCCACTCTGCAGATTTGCTGGGTCTCTCCAGAAACAGATCAACTTCATAGTCTGTTTACTATACCCTCCCTAGCTGGATCAGCAAAATTTGCTCTTACAGTGGTGTAAATATTTAAATGACATGTTATTTATTGTATAGTATATATTAGATAATGTGTGTATTATAGATAAACATGCAATATAGATCTACAGCACCTGCTTTGTTGCTGGCACTATTATGCTTTACCTATAAATTAGCTAATTTAGTCTTCACAAGTATATAACATAGGTGCATTTTTGTTTTTGTAGTACAGGGGATTGAATCCAAGGCACTTTGCCACTGAGCTACATCCCCAGCCATTCTCATTTTTTATTTTGAAACAGAGTCTAAGTTGCCCAGGCTGACCTTGAACTTTTGATCCTCCTGCCTCATCCCCTCAAGCAGCCAGGATTTTAGGTGTGTGCCACAGCACCCAGCCCACATAGGTGCTACTGTTGTCGTCTTCCTACAAAGATGATACTGCAGTCCAGAGAGGTTAACTTCCTCAGAATCACAGAGCTGGCAAGTAGCAATATCAGAATTCAGA